TGACAACTCTTACTGAGCTTGCCAGTGAAGAGCAAAGTTTTGAGGGGTAGTTTTAAGTCTGGGAAAAAGGAAGTATGGTTTTAAATTCCATCTGACACCTTCAGGGCCAACACTTCTTGTTGAATCTCTGCTCTTTGCTATGAAAACAATGCTCAAGCATTGACTTTTCTTCGAATGGCAGAGGATCTGTGGCACTCCAGATTACGCAAGTCTCGTGAGCGTCAGGCATGGAGGTGTGCCATGCGACTCCTCGCCATAACTGCACAGTAGGCACCAACTCTCCAGTTGACAAGTGGGGAAACCGAGGCACAGGCCTGCTGATGACCCAAGGTTTGGGATAACAAGTGGGGACTTGAGGAATTACAATTTGGCGCTGTAGAGACCACAGCCAAGACTATTTGGCTCAAGAGTCTGGGCTCAAAACCACGGTCCGCATTGCTGCCCACAAACACGAGGTTTGTAAGATTTCTCATCAGGTATCAATGCTTGACTGATTCAGAGTGAGGAAGAACGCTGAGTGTGGAAGGCAGCCTCCAACAGGGCCTGGCAGGCACCAGGAGTCTTGGCAAGGCTGCAGGGGCCTCTGGGCTTGAGGGATTCCTGCAGGAAGCCCTGCAAGGCAGAGCAGCCTCTATCCTGCCCATGGTGACAGTGGCCTGCTGAGCTCCTGACTGGTCCTGCGTCCAGGGTTCAGGGTGCGGCTCAGACCCAATGCCCAGCCTGGCCTCCATGTGCCGCTGGGCTTCTCTGGGACACGTGACTGCCCTTCTCCATGCCTCAGTTTCTCCTTTTGTAAACTGTAAAAGGCTACATCCTCCTTCAGTGGTGGCTGGGGTGTCACAGGACAGGCCTGCAGCCAGTCAGGGCTCCTGTCGAGTCCGGAGGACCATGAGGCCTTTCCTGAAGCCCTGAATCTAACGTACGCTTGCTGTCCAGGAAACCCCAGGGCACCCAGGGCCTCTGTAGGGTCTTCTCTGTTCCCTGGCTCTACATCGGGCTCACTGTCCAACATCCCCTGGCCTGTCAGCCGTGCCCAGGGCCCAGCACAGAGCTCCTCGGCAAGCCTGCCACTCTCTGGGGCGTGAGCATACATCTCAGAATTGAGACCTCAAACACCGAGTAGGGAAGCGTGCAGCCACCACATCAGGCCCACCGTTTGAAAGGCCTGCCCGTGTTTGCTCACGTGAACAGGGGCCGTCCTGGCTGCCAGCGGAGGAGAGGACACTGAGGCAGGCCCGAGGCATGCTGCTGCACCTGGCACGTGTGTTCCCCAAAGGAGACTGTTTCTCCATGCTTGGAATCACAGCGTCAGGGACTTTCGAGTCCATCTGGCTCTCTCAGGAAGGGAGGTGCCCAGAACAGGTCTCACAGGCCTGGGGCAAGTTCCAGATCCACAGACATGGGCCTCTGTAGACAGAGTTGACTTACAGACATGGTGACTTCAGGCTGACACTGAACCTGGCTAGTCCTTGGGTGTAAGCTTTGTCTATAGGGTGAAGTGGCTTGTTTAGCAACTCCAGGTGGGTGGGCGTGGCCTCCAAGCAAGGCCCCTCATTCCCCATGTACTTATTTACCATTTACACTTTATTACATGAACCATAAGTGCTTTGTCTGTAAGAGTAAAGAGACTTAAATGCCCCCGAAAGCACCCACCCCCACCCACTGCGCAGGGGTGGTAACCTGGCCTGTCTCGGGCCGTGCGCGGAAGGCGGGCCTGCAGACACACGCGGATCCCGGGAAATGCTGCCCGCGCTGCCGCTGCTCTCACGACCAACTGGCCTGCCTCCTGGCTCCCTCTTCAGTGTCCACCTCCTGCTCACTCTCTGCTCTTTCTCAGAGAAACATTCACCAGGGAGCTGCACATCCCCAAGTCTTGCCTCAGGCCCTGGATGCAAGTGAAGATGGCTTCCCCTCGGGTTAGGAGGCAGCCGCGATGGGAGACGCACATCACAAGCACACCTTCCATTCCGCCGCACAGGCGTCTGAGACGGGAAATCAGAGCTGCATTCTTGTCGAAGGAACTTAAATGTCACCAGCCTTGGGAAAGAGTTGAGTTTTCATAAAGTAATGAAGATTTAAAAATTAATGCAATAATATACAAATTAGGTTTCCATCTTGGGTTCAGAGATAATTGGCTGTAACAGAAAAAAGTAGAGTAGAACCTATTTTCGTTTGTTTTCTAATCCTGTATGTGTGTTTCCTTAACTAGTCCTGTTTAGTTTGGATTTATCCACTCCTGACATCTGCCCATCAGCTCTTTCTGTGAGGATCCGGAACAGGTCCTGGAGTTGACTGATCTGGGCACACGCTCTGCTTCCGAACGTGCTAGCTGTTCGTTGTGTGGAAAATCCCTTGACTTGGCTAAACCCCATTTTCCCATCTGTAACGTAACACCTACCTAGCTGGGTACTGTAAAAATTACAAAAGATAATGTAACTTATGTAATGTAGTAATGTATTTATGTAATGTAAATAATGTATCAGGGGCTGGAACAGGGTGGACACAGGAGAAATGGGGCTTTGTAGTGAGACCATCAGGTTCAAATCTCAGTCCTACCTGTGTCTCACTGACCTGAGTCCTCAGGCAAGTCCCATAATGTCTGAGGTGCACTCTTTAGATCTGGAAAGGGGATGCAGACACCCCTCTCTCCTGGAACAAGCTGAGGACTGCACCGATGAGTGGACACGCTTTTGGATGGTGCCTGGCTCATGACTGGTCCCTCCCCGACTCCAAGAATTCAAGTGCTAATTACCTCCCAAGGAAACTCTGGGGTCAACTGTATTTTGGTGTTTTGTGGGTGCCTCTGAAAAAGCTACTCAAGTGGACCACTTTAAATAATACTTTTGGGATGGTACATTTCATGTAACACTCAAGGCTTCAGGTTACAATCAAAGTTAGAATGTTTGGGGTATGAATTTTCATAAAGTATTATTGTGTAGACAGGGAATGTGTGATGATATCCACACATCAAAAGATAATTTGATAATTTATTTTACATAATTATATGAATTCAGTAATACACTGTTCAAAGCTGTATGAAATGAGATGGTGTGTATACATATATTAATCTTAAAAGAAACCCGAAGTAAATGAAGGATGATCACGTCACTTAATTGAAGATTCATAAATGTCACTGAACGGTGAACAGAAATGAGAGCAAATGTGAGGGAGAATTGCCTTTGTGGTCATTATTTACTCCAACAGCTCCAGGACTGCCTTTGGTAGCTGTTGGCAATCAACTGAGGGACCCCAGGCTGCAGCGCCCCTCCCCCCGGGATTTAACAGATTTCAGAGAGCAGCGCCCATTACTGTCCGTTCTGACCCAGGAGTGCTGGGTGGGGCAGACACTGCAGATTACCTGAGAGGCCAGGGCCGAGACTTCCCTTTTCTGCTAATCATCACACCTGTCATGTGCTGAGGCCACCACTGTCTCCAGGGATGCCCCACGAGCAAGCCTTGGGGGAACTCCTTTCTGCCCCCCAACTTTGTATACAACCACATGTGAAACTGGAAGTCACATTTTTTTTTTTTAAGACCGGAAGTCAAGAAACAACTTTGTTGTGACAAATACACACACACAAAAGAAAAACATATCGAAAAGGACCCAGGGAAGGGAAATGATATGCACTCCGAGTTGAAAAATTAACATAACAAAATAGTTGATGAGTATACTTAACACCCTTTAAAATGCAACAAAAACTGATATTGCCTATGACTGTTTCTAATACAATTTTTCTTATTTTGTCTTTCTTGAATGAATACTTTGAAAGAAGATACCTGAGGGGTCAAGCTCCATTGCTACCTTAAGCGATGACAATTTCCTCTTGAGGAATGAAAAAAAAATCATGATTAAAAAATAGGTCTTTACCAAGTCATCATGAAGATGTAGTTTTGTTTTCCAGATTAATTTTTTTTCCTGGCTGAGAGCAGGGCTTTCAGCGGTGAGACAGGAGTGATTGTGAAAGAAGGAGAAAAGGATGGTGATATAAATCAGCAAAGGTTAATGATCGGGATGTGAAGAGAGGGACTTGTTTACAGAAATAGCGTGCAATTTAAAATTTACAAGAGATTTAATGCCACTGCTTGGCAATCGCTAAAATCAACAGCCCAGAAAACAGTGACATTAAGAAAAATATTACAGTTATAATCATCCCCAAATAAGTCAATTAGTGTTAGGGCACGAGCTTGCGATTACTTGACCCATTTGGCTTGCACTTAAGTGAAAAAAAATGTCCCCCTATTATACCAAGATCGCTGGATTGTGACCTGCTTTGCATCGCACGTGTTGTACAGCAGCCTCCCCGAGAAGTGCTTGGGCTGACGGTGGTTTTCCTTTGCCTGGCATCAAAATAATTCTGACCCTTGACATTTGTAATCATAAAAAAAAAAAGGCAATTTATAATTGTGTTGTTCAAATGAAGGTGGGGGGAAAATTCAATCTGCTATTATACAAAAGCGATGACGGCTGTCTTCAGTGAAAACAGCAACGCAAGTCAATTTGTGAACTTTGGCACCAGACGACCTTTAGAAACACAACAATATACTGAATTTACAAGCAACAGCGGCCCATGCAAATGACCCGGGCCTGGCCGCCTCTGGATTAGAGCCGCAGACAGCATTATGGAGAATGCTTCCACAAAACAAATTAAGACTGTTACTTAAATGTCACGGCACACTATTGTATTTGGCTACAGATCATTACACCTGATACTAACACTTTTAAAAACTGTAATAACTTGGGAAATATTACACTGAGTGCCCACATGTATAAAGGAAAAGAAAAAAGGAGAAAATAGGTTTCTGAAGTAATTTAAACATCACTACTCTGCGACTGGAGGGAAAGGTCAGAATTTAAGTAAGCTGAAAGGAACATGAATGGCAAAATAAAACACACAAACAGAAAGATGGAAAGACCACAGGACTGACTCTGCAAACACGACAAGGGCGCATGCGCTGTGGGCCAAGGCGCTGCCGGCTCTGCGGCGAGGGGCGGGCGTTACCTTCTGTGTTGGCACTGCTGCTGTATATATTTCGCAGGCTACCAACACGGTTTAGTTTCCATGCCTTGCGTTTGGCTGCATCCCGAGAGCAGAAAGGGGAGAGGGGGAAGAAGAGAGAAAACAAAAAGGAAAAGAAAACAAATGAAAAGGGGAGAAAAGAAATGTCAAAGCAGCACGTGACGTCACCTCCGAGCCACCAGTTCCCAAGAGGAAGGTGGAGGTGGGCGCTGGGACCGCCCAGGGCCCGGCCTCGGCTCCAGGGCTGCTGGCGCGGTGGTGTGCAGGGAGGGCGGAAGCCAGCCAGCCGGTGTCATTAGCTTTGCACAAAATCAAACAAACGTCCAGGCAAGGAAGCCCGTGCACCCCGTGTGCCCTGCTGGGTTTGACACACGGCCGCTCAGAACAGTGCACAGCTGGCCTTTCCCATGGGCGCTCGTGGCATCTGTGGCAGGAGCTCTGATGCTCATCCATAAAGCCTTTGATTTGGCAAAACATGGAGAGCACGTCAAATCAAAAGACACCCTGGTGACGTTGCAGAAGGTAGGTCATGAATACCCAGAGCTGTCACAAAAGGGTGGTGTTTTTCCCCTGGACATGGACGTATTTTGATCTGGACAATAACCGACAACCAGCAAAACTCTTCCACTATCTTGCTGTCCTGAAAGGATGCGTCCATTCTGCTTCCCATCAGGGCTGGAGGCTCTGAATGCTGAGCAGCCCCAAGCACACCCATCTTTTCTCAGCTCCCTGAATTAAGCATCCAAGAGAAAAAGCTAAATACCATTATTGGTGAGGAACCCTGGCTTTAGCAGTGAAATGCAGAATAAATTTAATACAGTAGGAAGTGACCGGTGGGGTTGACACGGAGCCCTGACCCCCAGACATTCTCATCCAGGGACACAGTCTCAACCCAGTGGGCCCCCACCCTCCCAACCATGGACGCAGGCCTGCAGACACCTGGGGCCAAGAGGTGGGCTCTTGCTGGCCCTTCCCAGGAGCCCTTTCGGGAAGACTTGAATAGGGAGCTGCTTGTGGGGCACATCTTCCGGTAGATGCAGCCCAGGACCCAGGGACTGCATGATGGCCACCTGCCACAGAGGCACATGTGTTGGCGTAGTCAGTGATCGCCAGTCATCCACACTCCTGGGGAAGGGGCGGAACCTGCCCATCTGTCTCTAACTCCCAAGCCGGGCAGAGAAACTCTCTGACCTTCTGTTGGGCTGCTTTTGGCTAAGGGTCCGACGTAGGTCAGAAGCACTCGCCTGGAGAAGGCAGGTGTTTGCATTTCCACAGGTGTGTCTGCAGCTCATGGCAGGAAGCCAGGCTCACCTTCTGGGTCACAGACTGATCTAGAAGCAAGGCAGATACTGGCAAGTGGTCAGCTCTCTCAGCAGCCCAAAGCATTTCTGACTTAGGACAGGTTGGCTGCAGTGTTAGAACCACAGGACGTAGCCTCAGATGGCGTGGGGTGGGCTCTGTTTATGCCAGGTTCTGGTGGCCATTAAACAATGCAGAGTGGTGGCCAGGCCTTCCTGAGGAGATCGGCTACTGAAGCGAACCTCAGATACTTCTGTGCATGCTGGATTCTTTGGAGGGACAATATAAAACTCATATAAGAAATGGGGACATTGAGGGAAGCAAGCGCCATTCTGAAACATAGTACCGCATACCAGGACACGAATTTTATGTTAATGATGGAGTAAAGCTAGGTGTAATTTAGTTGTCACCTGTCTCAAAATGACATAAAGTCAAACTATAACTAAACATCTCAGAATTACTTTGTTGATTGAAAACCATCAAATAATTTAACAAAATGTGTAGTCTCTAAGTTTTGGTGACTGTGGCCCTTCTCCAGAACATGGTCTGAATTTGATTTTTCATGGGTGGGAATGTTTCCCTTACGTGTACATCCTCAAGGTACCTCACCTGTAAGGTGTCTGCCCCAGGTAATACCACACCTGGCAAGGGAGCTCCAGGTACACTCAGCCATACAGACACCATGCACTTGAGACAAAGGAAACCCAACTGGTCGCAGCTTTCAAATGTCTACTTTAGAGATGTGGCTGAGTATGCACTGCCTGGGGTCCTCACAGCACACAGCAGGCGCTTCTGTAGAATTCAGCGTGTGCTTACTTATTTCAACAGATGAAGCTCTGGTGTCTCGGCCATGTTTTACAAGTCCCAGAAAATAGCAGCCACAGAGAGGTTGCACTCCTCTGCATAAAACTTACCTCTTTCTAAAAAATTTACATATAAATAGGCAGAATCTAGGCTGGGCACCCCTCTGGACGGGCAGAGCCTTGCACAGGGCACCCCTCCCTCCGCCTGTGTTGTATCTTGGATCTGTCACACTCAGGTCTCCCGTTACCGAACGGATGCCTAAGCAGGAAGGGAACTCAGTCTGGTTTTCTATTAACCTATTGATGAAATAATCAATTTTAATGTGTAAAATGTCATGCCTTTTTCTTCTTCTTAAACAAATGGACTTTTTCTGGATGATACCAAGGTTCTGACGTGTGCATCTGTCTCCTGCGGCATTAACCGCTCTCAGTCCACTTGTTTAGAAGGTTCTCAATGAGAAAATAAAATCGTATGATCATCGGCAAAATCTCCAGTTATAAGCAATGCTGCTTCCTGGATTCCCTTCTGAAGGAAACGGAGACACCGCACCAGGGACCCAGGGGCCCTCCGACCTGGAGCCACTGGCCAGCCGCCTCACTGCATTCGGCCATCACACACCACGGCCACCCTGCCAGCAGCACCCCAGACCCCAGACCCCAGGCCCCAGGCCTCTGGAGTAAGTGGTGATTCTTGGGGGCTTCATGTCAACTAGCTCAAAAGACTAAACTTTCTGGGTAATCTTGATTTTAATTTGAAAATATATTTTCAAAACATTTTCAGGAATATAGTTTCTAATTTTTAAATGTAGACTAACATTTTGATTTTGTCACTGATGTTATCTCTCACAAAACTACAATTTTAGTATCAGAATTTCACATTATTGACAAGAAGGCAGCAGAGTGGGAGCCTCCGTGCTCCCCATCCGCTGTTTTGCTTATCGGATAAGCAGCGGCATCTTCTGTAAACAGCTTTTCCACAATGCCTTAGGCAGCTATTTAAAGGGCAAAATGTCTCAGCACTGTCTCAAAGGTTTAAGAACACAAATGCAAATCTCAATGGACATAAAACCCTCAACACATAATTTGGACTGTTAGTCCGGATATAGATGGCAAGGCTGATCTCTTCTCACTTTAGCCTGCAAATTACATGGAACTTTCTGAACCCCAATCTGGATAGGCAGAAAAGTCAGCGGGCCTGGAGAAAGGAAGCCATTAGCAGGACAGCATTCACCCCACGCCATTGCCAGAGAAGGAACCAGGAACTCGGGTTGAACGCTAGGCTGCTGCGTGACGGTCACAGCAAAAGGGGGTGCCAGGAACCCACAGCTGATGCTGGAGAATGACAGGTCAAGAAGGATGTGAAACTCATCATTATACTGGTTGGAATGCATTTTCCAAGGATTAAAAGGATCAAGATTTTGAAAAAGGTAGGTTAAGACAGTATTGAGACTCCCCCCCCATCCCCAAGTATACGACAAAATGTTTACTGCCATGTAGTAAGAATGGTATTGTCAACCTCCCCTTAAAATTAGCAAAGAGCCCTCCTCATATGACGTGGAAGGTGGCATTAGTGGACTGAATTTATAAGGCAATTTTTGAATTACAAAGAGAAAAAGAGAGCTGATGGTGGTACCTCTGGCACTGAAATACTAGTGCAGGTGAGGGCACTAGCCTATGCGCTCTGGGCGCCCAGGGACGCTGCTCCTCCTGAAAGTGGTCCTGCTGATGCACCCACACCCAGGGACGATGTCTGCAGTACAGCTCAACAGCAGGGCAGGAGGGGCACTGGGTCTCAGCTGCTGCCCACAAGGTGTCCAACAGTTATAAACAACTGATTCTGTGTCCGGATGACCAAATGAGGTATGGCGTGATACCCCAACCCTCATAATGACTAACAGACAGTCACCATCTTTTCAAAGGAGACCGGGAAGAAAGGGGAAATGTGCAAATCACGGCTTTCTTCTCCGTAGCTGAAATCATTTAGCAATAACACTTCCCAGTTATCACATATCTCCTTAGTTTTGGAGTCCACAGCTATTCATATGAGTTCACGAGATGACCACAAGGGACTTAACATCTTATTTTAAAGGGAAATTTCTGTTACGTAGTTTGTCTTAGTAAAAAAGAAATTATTATTTTTTTTAACTACAGCATGCGAATGCCTAAGAACAAATCCCACACAGATTTCCAACATGAGGTTCTTTGGACTAGCTCTTTCTAAGTGGAACAAAATTATTCCTTAGTCTGCTGGCATGCTCAAATGAGCAGGGTTTTATCCTAAACTCTTCCTCCATCATTGTACCAGGAGACCACGGACTTATATTAATGTCACCTCTGGTCTCCTTCTGACAGCGCTCTTTTGCTGATTAGATAAATATTCCTCAGATAGCTGATTAAAAAATGATGCCGCCGTGAAGTTGTGTGTCCAGGCCTTGTCAGCCATGCTGAATGTTCAAGTGTGCATGAATCACATCCCTGGCGTGCGCTGAACAGGGCTGGCGAAATGAGGCACGCTGCAGCCCTCAGAATCAATTATGAGAACTAATAGGATCCTCTTCCTACACGAAGGAAGGGGCCGGGTTGAGCACAGTGTGCCACTCATTTCTAAGATGGTCTTGTCGCAGAATGGAATAAATAACCCTCTCCGTTCATACAAGGGAGTGTAAACGTACCTCTTTGGAAAACCAAATGATCATCCTGTCACCACTACTCTCTGTGCACATCAGACGTGCATTTGTTTTTAAAGATGCCATTGGGATACATGCCATTTGGGAAGTGAGGGGCCTCTGCTCCTCAAGGCCCTTCAGGTGTCACAGGACGGCCACTTCCAGGAAGCTCCACGGGTGGAACGGATGCCACTGTGGTTTGGTGCCACTCCGAGTTCGGTGCGCCTGGTACCCCGGGATCTTTTGTCAATGGCGATTTCATTGTGAGGGTGGGCACTGGAGATATCTT